GGACAGCCCTGCTTGGACACACCATGCCACCTCCCCACAGTGGTCTCAGACACGCCTTCCGATGCTGGGTACTGCCAGCCAGCACGCTATCCAGTCTGCAAGCACTCAGCACCCAGCCGCGGGCAGCCCAAGCCGGCGGTCCCTTTGGGAGGCCCTTTCCACGTACTTCTAGTCACACACGCACCCATCCCCCGGCTTGGGGACACACACCCGCAGAGGGACCCGCCCCGGGGCTTGCCCTTTTGGCCTCCATCGTCCCTGTGGACTCTGGGCCCCCTCCCCAGACTTCCTCACCTCGTGTGCCACAGTTTCCAGGGGCCTGACTGGAGGTGAGATTGTGGCCATCATCTTCGGGCTGCTGCTGGCTGTGGCGCTTCTGCTCGGGATCGTGGTCTGCCGGTCCAGGTGCTGCTCCTGCTCCTCCCCAGCCACCATCCTGGGTCCCTTTGTCTGGGCAGAAGCCCCTGAGTACAGCCCCAGTGACCTTCCCATTCCCTAGTACCAAAGCTCCACTGGGCCCCAGCCTTTACCTCGCACCCTGGAGAAAATGCATCCGGAGTCCATTAGGCCCCTGAGGTGGTCCTGGGACCCTGAAGACGCTGTCCCCAACCCCCCACAGGAAAGGTCGGAGGCGACGGCAGCAGAGGCAGCGTGACCGTGTCACCAACGTGGACCGAGGTGAGCCAGGAGCACCTGTTCACGTGTGTGCTTATGTGCTGGGAGATGCCACTGGAATGGGACCCAGGGACCCACATTTGCTGGGCCAATTCCAGGGACACAAATAGGCTCTATTGTCTCTAGGCCTTCTTATGTTTTGCTATGTAATTAACTTTAGTTAATTAACTTTGCACTGATAGCACCCCAGAGGCTCTGTGCAATTGCCTGTTAGCTGTTGGTGCCTCTGTACCAACACTCAGGCTCTGGGCAGCCTCCCCTTCCTGGCTGGCCAGGTGTGTGGGCTCAGGCGGGAGGGAGGGAGATGGCTTGGCAGGCTCCCTGAAGTCCTCCGAGGCATGTGGGCTTCCTGCTGGTCACCTCATTAGGCACCCCACAAAAGGGGCAGTGGGCAGGTCACCCAAGTCGTGGGGCGGGAGCGAGTCTCGTCTGGGAATGTCAATGAGCTGTGAGTGACTAGAGGAGAGTGGTGAGCAGGGGTGAGCCTGAAGGGCAAGGAATGTGAAGCCCGGCTCAGGGAGCTGCAGGAAGACTGCATAACTCGAGGCCGCGCACGTGCTTTTGGGTCGGGGTTCTGGCCCGCTGCCCTGGGCCTTGCGGGGTGAGGACACAGGAGCCTTGCACATGGACCGGAGGAAGAAAAGCTGGCTGTGGCGGCTTCGCTGCTGAGGATGGAGACTTTCTCCTACTTCAGCCAAAACAGGACTCCTCAGGGAACAGAATGGAAAGTCCAGGGTCTACCACGGGCCCCTCCCCTCCCTGTTCCTCCTGGGGTTGGAGCTCGGTGGCCGAGCCCTCCCTGTTCTCCCTGCAGAGGACAAGCTGTGGCTAAAGCCTTATGTGGACCTCCAGGCATATGAGGACCCTGCCCAAGGAGCGCTGGACTTCACCCAGGAGCTCGATCCAGCCTGGCTGATCGTGGACACTGTCATAGGGGAAGGTGAGCCCTGCGGGTCCCTCTGTGTGGCAGCACAGAGCTACCAGCCAGCAGCTTCCTCCCGGCCCTTCCCAGTGGAGCCCAGCTGGCCTCTCCTCTGGCCCAGGAACTCCCAGATGGGTTCCCTCTGTGCTCACCCCTGTTCCCTCTGTCAGGCCCCCTTATCGAGAGTCTTGGAGCAGCCCCCACCTCATACACAATCTACTTCTGTGGTTGTGGAGTTTCTGATAAAGACCATTAAACACATCAGCTTTGTCAACAGGGGGTCACCGTGCCCAGGCTCAGGCTCTTCTCAGATGGCTCCCAAACGTGGGAGAGGTTTGGAGCCTCCCTCAGCCCACATTCCATCCCACCAGGGCCCAGTGTCCTTGGGCCACCCTGATCCTTTAGGTCACCCGGGGAAAAGGATCTGAGCAGAGAACAAAGCTGGGCAGTGTCCTTGCTGATTAGGCGGCCAAGCTGTGACCAGAGGAACTCATGGAAGAGAGGCAACAATGGTCAGCCTTCCCGGTCACTTGTGTGCCGGCCCCAGACCAGCCTGCCCTTCATGGACACACTCTTGCACCACTGCACAATGCCCAGCGTTTACTGAGCACCTACTGTGAGCCAAGAACCATGCTGACTCTGCAGACAGTGCTGAACGGGTTGCATAAGTGCACTCCGGTCCCAGACTCCTGTCCCCTGCCCCAGGGAGCACAGCTCGGCCCTTGTCCCAGAAGGGGCATGCCAGGCTTCTGGTCCAGAGAAGAAAGGAACTGGGGGACTGGAGGAAATTGCTGCCTGTCCCCGGGGAGCAGGGGGCTGACCGAGCATCGGGCCATGACCTTGTGTTCTTTCCACCCAGGGGAGTTTGGGGAAGTGTATCGAGGGAACCTGAGAATCCCCGGCCAGGACTGCAAGACCGTGGCCATTAAGACCCTGAAGGACACATCTCCAGATGGCCAGTGGTGGAACTTCCTTCGAGAGGCAACAATCATGGGCCAGTTCAACCACCCACACATTCTGCACCTGGAAGGCGTGGTCACAAAGAGTATGAGGAGTGGTCTCCGGGAGTGTGGGGGGAAGGGAGGCCGGAGGGAGTGAGACCACCGGAAGTAGAGGAAAGGTGTATTGCCAAGGGCAGGAAGTCTGGTCCTGGTGGTTCTGGGTGGAGGCTGCCATGGTGACATGTGCTTTGCGTCTCAGGAAAGCCCATCATGATCATCACGGAGTTTATGGAGAATGGAGCCCTGGATGCCTTCCTGAGGGTGAGGAAGGTGGAGAACCCGCTGGCAAGGGGGGTGCCCTGTGGCCTCCTGGTCTGGGAAGAAGCGCCCCTGCCCATCTCCTAACCTGCCACTCACTGGGCTGCAGGAGCGGGAGGACCAGCTGGTCCCTGGGCAGCTGGTGGCCATGCTGCTGGGCATCGCATCTGGTATGAACTACCTCAGTGACCACAGTTACGTCCACCGGGATCTGGCTGCCAGGAACATCTTAGTGAGTCAGAACCTGTGCTGCAAGGTGTCTGACTTTGGCCTGACCCGCCTCCTGGACAACTTCGATGGCACCTACGAAACCCAGGTGAGATCCCTGTACTCACCGCATGCACGTTTACACACGGGACGTCATGCCGTACACACTGGCACACGCGTATGTACGGGATGCGTGCTCGTGTGGACACAGCGACTTCCCATCCCTTTTGCACAGGTGTTTTTACACCCTTCCTCCATGAAACACGTCACCTCTCTGTCCCGTGCGCCCTATTAGGGAGGAAAGATCCCCATCCGTTGGACAGCCCCCGAAGCCATCGCCCATCGGATCTTCACCACAGCCAGCGACGTGTGGAGCTTTGGGATTGTGATGTGGGAGGTGCTGAGCTTTGGGGACAAGCCCTATGGGGAGATGAGCAATCAGGAGGTGAGCCCGAGTACTCCACACTGGTCTTCTCCTTCCCGGCCCCCCATGGCTCTCTCCTGCACATGTCCTAATCTCTCCTCCCTGACCCACAGTTTCTCTGCACTTCTATCTCCCGTGGCCCCCTGTTCTCTTTACTACCGGTCGGGAGGTTTAGAGGCTCCATTTCGATGATCTTGCATGAACAGAGACTTGCCCCGGGCCACCAGGTTAGCCTCCCACCTCAGGCCTCCCCCCTGCAGGTAATGAAGAGCATCGAGGACGGGTACCGGCTGCCCCCTCCCGTGGACTGCCCTGCCCCTCTCTATGAACTCATGAAGAACTGCTGGGCCTATGACTGCGGCCGTCGGCCCCCCTTCCATCAGCTGAAAGCACATCTGGAGCAACTGCTGGCCACGCCCCACTCCCTGCGGACCATTGCCAACTTCGATCCCAAGTAACCCTGCTGGGGACGGCAAGGGGATGGGAGGGCAGGCCTGGGAGGATGGGAGGGGGCATTCAGCCACAGCTAGCACGTGCCGGGCCTGCAGCGCTCTGGACAGAGTCTAGCGTGTGAGGCAGGACCGCAGTCTGTGTCCTCAGGGAGAGTCCACCCCGATGGGGAGGAGATGGGGAACGTGCTGTCCTGCCCCGGTCAGCTCATGTTCAGTGGAAGCACGAAGCAAACGCCGAGGTGGAGAGCGGATATCAGCAGTGCTAACAAGCTGATACCTGCCTCAGGGAGCTGGGTCACTTAGATTGGGGTGGGGAAGACAGAGAAACTGGCACGGGGCCGCCTTGTGCAGGCTGGGAAGGCTCTTCCAGATCCTGCGGCCAGCAGTGACTGGGGAACTGAGGATGGGCTGATTGCAAATAGCAGGGTGACAATGACGCCCCTTTGGGGACAGTGGCCAGAGATGACGCTGGAGAGGTGGCTAGCAAGGTCAGTACAAGAAGGACCAACCAGCGCTGCGGAAAAGTTTGGATGTTATCCCGAGCTCAGAGAACTATCGATTAATTTTTAAAAACTGTCCGTGGGAGGGACGTGGTCAGAATTGCCTTTTACCAAAAACATTGGCAGGATGTGGAGAGTGTGACCTGGGCCTTGGGGTGAGGCGGGTGGGGGATGGGCGAGCCTGGGCTCCAGATGCTTTATCGGGCAAACCAACCCTGGTGTGCTGGCCACCCTGGTGTGCTGGCCGCCGTGTCAAAGCACCATATATAACCTTGTTTCTGGGAGAAATGTGCTCCAAGGTCCAACTTTTGAAACTATCTTCTGGAGCACAACTCCCTCGTACGCTGGAGACTGCGTGTGCTAATCTTTCTGGAATGCTGGGTATTTCTCCCCCAGCAGATTTGCTTTGCCGAAGGTTCCTGGCTCTGGCTGGCTTTGGGACAAGAAGAACACGCATTGTGTTGTGGGGGTCAGAACGCAAGAATAACAGCCCAGGTTGGAGGTGGCTGCTCCCAGAACTCATGGGGCCCCCCTGGAAGGAGGCAGGCCCACATCCGGCTCTGGGCCTCCGCTCGCCTGCCTTCTGCTTGCTCTCACTTGGGACAGTTGCTTCTTTTGTGTCTTAACCAGCTCCCTGCATTCGTTGCCCACATTTGGCCCCTCCAGTGGAAATGGGCCGGTGGTATGCTTTGTGTCGGGGACTTTCAGGGCAGCCACCTCCCCCAGGTCGGTCAGCCTGCCCACCCACTGCTGTGAGCACACCAGGAAACAGGCCAGGAAATGGGTTCACAGACAATGGCCGGGCTAATCCACCGAGTCTAGATAATCTCTCTGCTCAGACACTAACTTGAATGCTGGCTGCAGAGCCTCAACAGGCTGAGTGCCGGTTTCAGGAAAGCTGGGGGACAAGCTGGGGATGAGAAGGCCAAGGACAGCTCCTGCCTGCATCTCCGGTATAACTGAGGTAACCCATGTCCCACAGGGTAACCCTTCGCCTGCCCAGCTTGAGTGGCTCAGATGGGATCCCCTATCGGAGTGTCCCTGAGTGGCTGGAGTCGATCCGCATGAAACGCTACATTCTGCACTTCCGCTCAGCTGGGCTGGACACCATGGAGGGTGTGCTGGAGCTGACGGCCGAGTGAGGACCCTGGGACTGGGCAGGGGAGGGCTGCTGGTGTGTGAACCCATGCCCTCACTGACCCCTTTCCTTGCCCACAGGGACCTGGTACAGATGGGCATCACGCTGCCAGGACACCAGAAACGCATTCTTTGCAGTATTCAGGGATTCAAGGACTGAGCCCTCCCCTGTCCCTGCCCTGTCCTCAGGGAGCAGGGATGGGGCCATGGTCACGCATGCCCCTTCCCTCAGCCTGCCAGGACCTGGTGCTGCTCCTGCCTGCCCGAGGAACTTGCCTCTGGAGCCTGGGAGCCTTTTGATGTTAAAAAGGGAGGTAGGGGGTTAATATATATATATACATATATATATATACATACACATATATATATTTTTGTAAATAAACAGGAGCTGAGTTTTCATCTTTACCCCTGTTTTTTTGTCCCTCCATCTCCTGCACCCCACTGGAGAGGGCAGGAGCACAAAAGAGTCAATTGCTAAGAATTCTGGAAAACAAGGTGTTTTATTTGTAGCTATAGCCACAACCTGGCAGCACAGGGGCGGGTAGGAATGTCCAGGCCAGCTCGGCCCGGCCCGGCCCGGCCCGGCCTCCCCACAGGTCAGGGCGCTCCGGGCCCTCAGCAAGCAGAGGAGAGGCTGCTCGGGGCCAGCCGGGGCATCGGTGCAGCAGCGCAAGCAGCAGCACCCCCTCAGGTGGGGTACCTGGAGGATGGTGGGCGGTCCCTGCAGGAGAGGGTTAGACTGGAAACCCAGGGCCTTCTGGGGCGCTGGGATACTGGGTGGAAGGACGGGCGAGACATCAAAAACAAGAGGGGGAAGAGCAAGTGGCGGGCCAGGCGGTCTCAGTGGGGTGGTCCGCAGTGGAGGGGGTGGGGCGCGGTCCCCACTCAGGTCTGGGCCCGGGCAGTGTGGCACCTCCGGCAGAGCACATGGCCGTCCAGGGGGAAGCAGCCGTTGTCATCCGCCTCAATGGACAGTGCCTTCCCACAGTCCTGGGGGGAAGAGGAAGAGACACTGGGGGGAAGGTGCCTGCGTACCCCCACTCCCCTGACTTTACATCAGGAAGGCCAGGAAGATGCCTCATGGCTCAGGGCCGGCGTCCTCGCCGTCTGGTTCCCTCCTCCCGCCATGCCCACCCCCAGTCCTGTCTCCCCACTTCTATTACCCACTCTCACTTTCGTCCCCCAGGCCTCCTACTCAAGGAGGGGCAGTGGGCGGAGCTGCTTCCAGGGCACCCGCCCCAAGGCACCCCCCCTCCCACCCGTCTCCCCTCCATGCTGGCTCTCCTTCCTTCTCAACCTGGACCTCAGCCCTGCCACATCGCAGCGTGGCGCTCTACCTCCCATCGGTCATTTCCCTTTCTCGGTTTATCCACAACTCAGTGACTCCCACAGATCCCCGCCCCCGACTTTCCTGCACTGACGGAAGCATCCCGGCTGGGCAGGCCTGGGCGCTGCCACTGGCCGCCCCGAAAGCACTGGTTGCTGGGCCGGCACGGCCGCACTCTCCCCACCCCACCCCCCAGCCCTGAGGGGCCCCGGGGACACCGACCTCACACTTGTAGCACTTCATGTGGAAGTTCTTGTCCAGAGCGACCACGCGCACAGTCTCCTCGCGGCCAGGCTCGGGCATGATGGGCTCCGCGCACACCGAGCACCTGGGCGCGTACTGCCTGGAGGGCGGCGAGTGGAGCGCGAGTCAGGGTGAGGCGAGGGGGGCCCGGCTTTCCCCGGAACGTGGGGAGAGGAGGCAGCAGTGGCACAGCCACAGGCTGACTGCTCGGCCCATCCTGCCCGCCTCGGGGCGGGCCGAAGCCCCGCTGCCATAACTGCCCTTGACAAGGCGAATTTCCCACCTTTCCCTTCGTGCTCCCAAAGCCCCATCCTCCCAGGAACCTCTGCCACATCCACACTGCAGCCCTTGCAGAAAGCACACCCAGAGGTGCCCGCACCCTCTTGTCCCATCCCTGAAGCCCTGACCCTAGCTCACCCTCACCCTACAGGTGCCTCGGCCCGACTGCTGAGGGGTACAGAGGCACATGAAGTCCCGGCCACCAAAGGTGGAACCCTAAAAACGCACACCTCACACAGGGAGGTGGGGGCCAGATTCTGAGCTTCCCTGCACTGCCCTGTGGCCCCGTTATGCCCATGGCCTGAGAAAGGAGCCATCTTGTAAACACGGTTTCTAGAGGCAAATCGGAGTTCCAAACAGCTGATCTCCAAAGGGACTTTCAGAACCTGGCCCGTGTGTGACATGAAGTCACTTCACACGTTGCAGAGCATAAAACCACACCCAAAAGAAGCCTGGGCAAGACAAGGGCAGGGGACTGGTCAGCAGCAAGACTTGCTACCCCAGGCCTAAGGACACTGGACAGCCAAGTCCAGATGCACTGGTCTCTGCCATCTCTCTAGGTAGGCTGTGGGGCCGGAAAACAAGGCCAGGGTTTGGTGCTGTCTCGGGGTCCGGGCGGGCAGCCTGGCTTCCAGACAAACCACAGCTGGCCCCGGAGTAGAGCTCAGAAGGTGGTGGTGGGTCCTCACTTGTGGTAGTCGGGGACGCAGTGCGGCCGATTGGCCTGGTCCACGATGAAGGAGGTGCCCTCCAGGGGGCAGGCACAGACCACACAGGTGAAGCACTGTGGGTGGTAGGCTTTGCCCGTGGCCCTCAGCATGCGGTCAGTGATGGGCTGCCCACAGGTGTTGCACTTCTCCAGGGTGTCCTGAGGAAGCAGGAGGAGGTCGGCCGGGAACTGGCACCCAACAGCCAGCTGCCAAGGCAGGCCCACCCCACATCTGTCCGCCTCCCCGCCGCTGAGCCCGTGAGCCCCAACCCCGACTCACAGTATAGCAGCCCTCGCAGTATGGCGCCCCCTCCAGGCTGTAGAACTGCTGTCCTTGCAGCTGCTGCTCACACTGGTGGCAGGTGAAGCAGGTGATGTGGAACAGCTGCCCCAGAGCGCGAACCGCGGGCTGCGCACGTGCCAGGGGCTGGTGACACCGGCCGCAGGACTCTGGGAAGGCCAGAGAAGATAGAAATAAATAGGAGGAAGGGCGTAAACTTGTAAGGGATCAGCTGGCTTGGACTGGGGGGAGCAGCCACAGGCACCGGCCAACACAGTGACGGAGGGGACGCGTCCCAGCGGGCGGCGGGCTCACCGCTGACGGCCACGTTCTGCCTCTGAGGATGTTCCATGTCCTGCATCAGCTGCTGGGTCAGGTGCTCCAGCTCCTCCACCTCTTTCAGAGTCAGAGGTCCTGGGCCCCCCGGGGAGCGCACCTGAAACCCCAACAGTTTCTTCAAACTCAAGGGTCGCCCCCTCCAAGAGCGGTCCCCAGCCAGCTTATCCGCCTTCTTCTAAGTTGGACTAACTCCCCTCCCATTTCCCAGATGCTCAGGTTTGACCCTGAAGGCTCCTCATTCTCCCTCCCCAATCCCAGCACCACACAAATCAGGGGAAGGGGTGACCCTTGCACCCGCTTTGCCCAAACACCCCCGGGCAGCCACAGACAGGCCAGAACGACTAAGCGGACAGAGGCCACGCACACAGCAGCTCAGGTCACTGAAGCACCGAACACACCAGGCCACGCATCAACTCCACAGAGCATGCTCGGACATGGCCCCCCACGGACAAGGTCGGCACGCGACGGCGTGCGTACCCAGGCGCACACACCTACCCGGCCTGCCTGCTGCTGAGCAGCCCTGTCAGCGTGAGGATGCAACACAGGCGGGAAGCACAGGTTAAACCCTCAGAGCTGTCGCAGCAGCCCAGCTCCCAGCCCCACCACAGAGGTCCTGGGGGCCCTCCTGAGGGAGGGGGTCCTGGACAACCTGACCCCACTTCCTCCCCAGTCGGTCTCAGAGAAGGGCCTGTCCTAGGCCAGCTCATCCCTCCCGTTTAGGGGATCCTGAGAGAGCTGGAGATGGAGTAGGCTAAGGGGAGGGCACTGCACAACCTCGAGGTGCCTGGAGGAGGCGACACAGGTGCTGTCTGACCTGTCAGCATCGCCGCGAGGTGCTCCACCAGGAACACTGGTCGGGCTTCTTCACAACTGGATAAGTACACCCAGGGCTGTGGCCACTGAACGTCCTGCCTGCCCACACCTTTGTTCCCATAACGCTTAGAACCCCAGTCTCCTAGCTACCTGCTCCCACAGCCACCTGCCTTGGGCCCGGGCCCCACCACCCTCACCCCATCTGCATCCAGAGCTGCATCCACCCCGAGAAGCAGACGCATACAGAAGTCCCAGCTCTTGGTGGTTTTCCATGTAGATTCCTGCCACCCCCTGCCCTTAACTATGTCCCCTGTGAGGCCAGCTTCTGCAATGGAAGCTTCACCTTTTCCTCTCCCAATCTTCCCTTCCTGGCATCTTGGGGACAGAGGAAGGGGACTCGGCCAGCCTTTGCCCTCTGGTGCCACCTTAAGCGTCTGTTCCGTTCTTTGGAACTACTCAGGTACAGCAGCTCCGCGTGCCTAGCCACGCTCCTTAGGGACGTGCTGCTTTCCGTCTCTGCCTGTCAGCATCGATGTCACAGCTTCGACGCCCGTGGCACTCAGACCTCTCGCTCCTCAACCCCAATGGCTCCAAACATCCCTCCATCTCAGGCACCTTCCACCATGGGTCACCTTGAACCTGAGAGTCACAGTTCTCTTTACCTCCTAGACCATGGACTTGACCCCCCAACCAGACTAACCTCCCACTTCCCTGTTCAGAAAGGCTTTCTTGCGGCCCCTCGACCCTCCCCACATGCTTCCTACCCCCGACCTGACCCCTTGTTCATCTATGTCTACAAGGATCTCCCACCCTCGTCCACGGATTGCTCATCTGGTCCAGTCTCAACCCCGGGGCACGCCACAGCCCGCTTCCTGTTGTTTCTGCTGCAGCTGAGTTCACAAAACACTGCAGGGCCCTCCTCTGCCCTCCTGGCCCTCCAGTCCCGCCTGGCTGTCTGGTTTCTGGCTCCTGCAGGTCCCCGGTCGCCTTCCCCACAGCAGCTGTTCCGACCCTTTCCGTCGCCTTGAGCCCCAACAGCTTCACCCCTCGCTTGCTCTCACGGGTGACCTCACCTCCTACATGACTGAGAAGATGGAAGCCAGCCAGCTCGAGCTCCCCCATAGTTCCTCCTCTCTACCGAAAACATCGTAGTGACGCTGTCCTCGCTCTCTGGGAACGCCACGGAGGGCAGGGGTGGGGGGAGGCGTCACTACCTCTCCTCCAGGGCTCCATCCCAGCAGGTCTCCCTAACCCATCCTCCACCAGCTTCTTCCTCCTGGTTCACGCTCACGCCTGAGCCCTCCTCCCAACGTGAAAAAACCACACGCACACAGACACACGCGGTCCTTCCCCCGGTCCACCTCCCTGCCAACCTCTGCGAGCGGGCCACTCTGGCAACTCCATTCAGTCCTCAGCTCCTTTCGCTGTGCCCACCACAGGGCACAGATGGACCACCTCACAGCCATCGATGACTTGCCAACGGTCAAACCTTTGGCCTTCTTTTAGTCCTCATCCTCCTCAAGCCCCCACTGACGAGCTCCTCAGCCATCATGTTCTTGCCTCAAGAGTCCACCCCACTGTATGATACTCCTGCTCCCGCCATCCTTCCCTCTCCCACCGGGTGGACGTGAGCGCCACCCACGCTCCCTCCCAGGCCCTGGGCTCCTCCTGTATAAGCCACCCCCGGGGCCGCCTCTCAGCCCCAGAGGCGCCAGTATCACCACGCACGACAACCTGAGTCCGGGGCCCTCTCCTGAAGCCCATTCCTCCACTTCTAATGAGTGACAGCTCCAGCTGAAGGAAAGTCTCCCTGGAGCCTGTTGCTCAACACGCTGATAGCCGGACCCCTCCTCTTCCCGTCTAAACCATTTCCCTTTCTGGACTTCTCCGTTTTGTCAGCAACCCTGTGATTCTCCGACACACGCAGGCCTTTTCCACCCTTCCCCCGCCTCTTCCGACTGCTTGTCAGCCACCAGGTTCCGACCAGGTCCCGGAGGCACTTCCTCTGCTTTTATCTGGGCCCAGGAGAGAATCCCCACACGTTACTGCCCAACACCTCCTACCTCTAGTCCACACCTCTGCTGGAAACACGTCCCAAAAGCTTTCAAAAGCATGGCCGTCCCCGGGCCTCTGACCCAGCCACACACACCTACTCAAAATCCACGAAGGACTTGCCAGAACTCACAGGCTCCCTCGGTGAGCGATTTCATCTTCCTCCTCCCTTAAGCCTCCACCGACCTCTCTGTAGCGAAGGTCCCAGAGGAACATTCTACTTTCGAGTCTTCAAACACCCTGCTGTTTTGCTCATGCGATTCCCTCCCCGAAGCCCTTCCCTCTCCTCTCTGGAGCCTTAAGTCCCACCATTCTTCAGAGCCCACCAGAGCACCATGACGTCTTCCTTTCCTCAACCGCCAGCCCCGTGCTGATGCCCTGCTCGGCGTTCCTACAACACGGGCCTGTGCACAACTCACTGGCACCTGACGTCTCCTGCTGCCCCGTGCCTGCGCACACAGGGACAGACATTCCTACTGTCAGTTTACGCTGGGCTGCTTGGACTAGATGACCGACAGGGTCCCTTCAACTCGGAAGCTCGCGTCTCCTGAACTAGAAGGCAGGAAGGGTCAGGCAGGAACGATAACTTTTCTACTCTGAGCGTTCTCGTGCTGGATAAAACCCCGGCACTTTCTATGCATCGTTAGCTCACTTCATCTTCACCACCACTGTACGGGGGGGATACTGTTAAAGATGGGGAAACTGAGGCTCAAAGTTCACCTCACTCGCCTAGGGTCTTGTGAGATGGGAAGCTGGGAATTCTATCCCAGGTCCTCCTGACTCCCTCGGGCTTAACCTCCTTTGAGATCTCTTCCGTCCACAGCACAGAACACAGTGCCTGGCTCAGCCAGTGTTTATCAGTGCAGGGACTCTTATCACCAGCTGAGCCCTTGGGCAGTGAGAGCCCTCAGAAGAGCAGAGAAGTTACAACAAGAAACCAAGAAGGGGGAAGAACCGAAATTGGACTGGTGATGAGCTCATCCCTTACCTTTAACATTCTGGGGCAAAGTGCAAGAGAAGGTCCACGAACCCTCCTCCTAATTCAGAGCCTGCACGCCCACGCCCTGCCAGGCCCTCCTCCAGAGGAGCTGCGGCTGGCCACTGTCTTACAGGTCCAAGCCTTCACTCATCTTTGCCCTTTCTCTGGCTCCCACTTGCCTCCCTGTCCCCAGCCCCCCGATCTCAGCCCAGTCCTCCCACCCTCCCTCACCTGGTTTTGGTTTTGAGCCGGCGGGGGCACTGGGTGCTGCTTCTCCTGCACTCGGGGCTTCTCCCTCTGCTGAGCGTAGGTGAAGCTGGGGGGCTGAGGGGAGCCTGCGCCAGTGGAAGAGGGAGCTTGAGGGGGCCCTAACTTTTGATTGGGCTGTGACCCAGGTCCACCTGGGGCTCCAGGGCTGAACTTGGAAGCCACAGGAGTAAACTTGGGAGTCACTGGAGAAAACTTAGGGGCTGGAGATGGGGCTGGGGGACCTCGGGGCTGACTGTTCGCCAAAGGCACAGGCTGAGGCTGGGGCTGGACGTGGAGCTGGACCTGAGGCTTGGCCTGGGCCTGGGCCTGGGCCTGGGCCTGGGGCTGCACATGGAACTGTGCCTGGCTGGGAGGCTGAGCCTGAGCTGGGGGCACAGGCTTGGAGCTGGAAGGGGTCTTCCAAGGAGGCACTGGTGCTGCGCCCCCAGCTGCAGGCTTAGTACTGGTCTTGGAAATGAACGGAGTGGAGACGGGTGGGGGTACGTATCCAGATGACACCTGCAAGGGGAGGCAGAGGGGAGAAGAGTGCATTTGTAGGAGGGTGCCAGCCTCCCCAGTGCTGTCCCCAGAACGCTCCTCCTCTCCTGCTCCTTACCCGGGCTTTGAAGGGATCATTCTTGGTCATGTCATCCAGCAGTGACGACAACGAGTCTATCTCCAGATCAATACTGCTCACCTTCTCCCTGGGCTAGAGGGTCTGGGGTCAGCGCGCCCATCCCAGTCCTCCAGTCCCACCCCACCCCACCAAGGCAGAGGTGCAGAGGAGGTCGGAGGCTGGGACCCTCCTCTCCTTCCCTTGGGGGAGTCCCTGGGTAGCTGCCCCTCCCAGCCCCCATACCTGTGGTGGGAGCGGGACGGGGGCCTCAGACCCTCCCTCGTCCTCCAGCGGAGGCGGCGGGGAAGGAAAGATCTCCTCCTCCAGAGGTGCAAGGGGAAATGGCTCCTCGATCGGGGGAGGAGGAGGTGGGAAGGCACCTCCCAGGGAGCCCTCCGCTTCGTCGCCATCCCCAAGGAGGGGCGGGGGCGGTAAGGGAAGGTCTGGGGTAGACAGGAGAAAGAGGGCAGTCAGTCAGTCAGCAGGGGACCCTCTACCCCTTCCCCAAGTTCCCCTCCTTCTACGGCGCTAACCCCCAACCCACAAGAACGCTCTCGGGGGTCCAGGGCGAGCGGGAAGGAAAGGGGGGCGCAGGATGCCCTGGGAGCACTGGGTCAGGACCGGCCGAGGGCTCGGCGCAGGAGTGGTGCAGCTCCCGTTACATTTTGGAAAACAGACCCGCAGGGGAAGATTCATGCCCCACATTCCCGCCTCCCACCCCCCAGGCGAGGGACTTGGACCGGTCCCAGGAGCCCTGGCTCCCAGCCACGAGCTCCACGATGAGGTAAGAACATCTGCTCGGGACAGGGTGGCTGCGCCCAGCCCCCTCCGCTGCAACCTCTCCAGGTTCCCGAAACCAGTGCCCCCAGCCCGGCGCCCGCCGGGGTTCGGCCCCCCAGCCCGGCCGGCATACCTTCCGGGGGCGGCGGGGGGATCTCGCCCACCCGGCCCATCTGTGCGCGCTGGGCCCCGGCGGCCGGGAGAGCCTCGCTGTCCCCGGGCCGGAAAGGATTCACTTTGGGCTTTGGGGCCACTACCGGGCCGAACTTCTTCTGCGGGGCGTAAAAAGCCGGAGCCGAGACCGAGACGGAGATCGCGGGAGACGGGCGGGGGGCCGCCATGGCCAGGCCGGGCTGCT